ACTGTATCAACTTCTGATTTGAACCAAAAGATTTCTTTTTTTATACCCTTTCAATTGATATACTACAATATGCGGGGTTCTATTTAAAAATTTTGAGGGGGGCCCCCTGGAAGGTCCCCCTAAGAGGTGGAAACATCTGCAACCCCCTTAAAAGAGTAACCCCTCAAAACGATTGAATACGTATTTCGCGATTTTTCATAATTTCGAACCGTTTCCAAAATATAAAGGTGTTTCCAGACTTTATGGACACCCTGTATATATATTACCGCAACAATATCTAGCTTACGGCTGTTATTACCGTTTGTATGTTTTGTATAAAGATTTATCTTTTTACTTATCAAATAATATGCAATATACATACAAATATAAGAAACATATTTTCTTATGTATTCAATATGTATTTATAATTAATTTTTTTTAATCTACCTTATGGTGAGGAGAACTGTTGGCTGACTTAGTGCCATTATTGCTCAAGTCATGACTAGGCCTTCTGGAATTGGACTGTCTAGTGTTAGGCCTTCCCAACGTTGTTACTTTGGCCGGACTCGTATTTATCATTCTAATTGATCCAGTACTGCCACCGCTTCTGCTGGGTGAAGAATTCGTCGAGTTCTTGTCATTCTGCACTCGGTTACACGTTTGATAAGTTTCTTGATTGGTAATACTAGGTGATATAACAGACGCTCTAGATGTGCATCTACTTAAGCTTGAACATTTAGATCTCGGCAGAGTAGAACATGGTGATCGATGCCTTCGGGAGCTTCTTGGTGTCGAATTGGCCAACAAACTCGAAGAATCACCGCTGGCTTGACGTCGATGTCTTCTTGGTAAAGTAGCTGATCGCATTGAGCTCAAGTCGTCCCATACTTGGAAACTAGTTTGCGATTGGTCTAGACCCTCTATTATCTGAGAAGAAATCTCATCAAATTGATTTTATAAAGCACAAAGATATTGGTTTAATTTATTCTTGTTGAGAAGTATATGCAACTTACCGAGGGACTAGCAGCTTTTGTCTGTGTAGCAACGCTATGCAAATGCACAACGCGCGGATTAAACCATTCAGTGGGAGGATATTGAGCACTAAAAGTGCCCATTAATGGTGCGGCTTTTCGTCGTGTGCTCCGTCGAAAAAGCCTAGATAGCAAGCCTATTTTTTCTGAAAAAATTCCAGAAAAGTCTTGAGAAAAAAATCAAGATTTATTACACTTTATTACAAAAAAAAATAAAAAGATAAGGATCAAGGAAAGGTTTGGTAGCAGGGTGACTAAGAAGCTTTGAGTTAGAGAGATTATGTATCATATACTCAAAATGATTCATTTACTACAGAGCGTAAAACTCTCATGTTTTGTACACGAATTATTGCAACTGTATACGAGATATTCTTAACACAACATATCATTTTATAAATATATATATATATATATATATATATATATATATGTACAGACGGCGTCATTAATTCGAAGAATAGGCGCGGGGATCACATAAAAAGTCCAGTTGATCCAAATATCCATTAGTCCCAAAATCGGGTGTTCAGTTGTGGACACCCGATTGCTACTAGTTAGTTAGTACGGCGCCCGTTGGCGCTA